ATTACTTAATAGTATATATTGTTTAAATTTATTGTTCATTATACTATTGTACATTTATATTACATCAAATAAACATTGTATATTCATATTACATCAATTAAAATATAAACATATTTACGAGATATTCATCATTTTTTATAAATCGTGATACTATATGTACTTGTTCTATAGCAGACTCAATGGGTATAAATTTATACTAAAAAGTAAGTATTAGACACAGACATTCATATTTATTTTGCTGAATGTCTTTCTTATATTTATAATCATACCATCGTATAAATATTAAATAAAATAGCTTATTAATTGAAAAAGATTTAATTGAACATAACATTAATACCTATTTAAAATATAAAGATATAGTTAAAATAATATAATTATTTTTTATTAAATTAAAATAAATTCACCTTACCAAAATACATTCCATTATGTGTAATATAATTTTCACTTTCATTAACATCCATATTAATCGAAATATTATCAAAAATTGCTTGATTATACCAATTAGAAGTTGCCCAAATTATATCACCACTAGATATAATCACAGATCTATACTATCTAACAAGTATATCTTCATTGTTCATTTTATTTTCTATTAGTTCTTTACAAAAATCAAAAAATCTATCCAATACTAATAGAAAATGATCAAATGCTTCTACTGCTTCTGATGCCAAAGAATTAGTAGATTTGTGAGATGTAATAAACTCATCAAATAACGATAATTTAAAAGTTGCAATTTCACCATTCATTATCGATGAAGAATGTTTGATATTTTTAGTATTGTTTAGTTTTAAAAACTGATGCAAGTATTTAAGTATAATCTTTCTTCGTACCTTAATTAAAAAAATATGTAGATTAAAATTATTAGTCATATTTAGTATAAATATTATAATTACTTATCATATATAACATTTGTAATATTGCATCACGTTTGTTACTTTTTCTATATAGATTCTTTACCCATTCTTTGTGTAAAGATTTATAAGTTTCTGTAATAAAACCATTAATAGCACTATATTCTTTAATTGCAATAATAGTATGACATAACTAATTATGTAACTTTAGCAGCTATAATTGTGATGGTAAATACGATGATAATAATTTTATAAAACCTTTTGCCTATTTAATGATAAGTAACTATAAAATAATATAAAAAATTAGTATTAATAATATATATTTATTATTCAATCTATAATTAAATTTACATACATTAAAAACTTCTAAATCTGTTTCTGTAAATTAATCCTTACGTGAAAAAATATACATATTATTTCAATAGACATACAATTGAACTAATTGTTTATCCATACTTTTAGCCTGATTTATAGTATAATTATGCTTATATAATATACTAATAATGCCATCAACAACAAATACGAGTTGACGTATCATTACACAAAATTCTTTTGCTGTGAAATGTTTAATGTTACCCAAACTATGTTTAAATAATTTAAGACCTGAAAAATGAGGAATTTTTGACAATCAATTATCAAATTTCATTATGCCACTTGAACCACACCATTCCATCAATAGCTCTCATATATATTTAACTTGATATTTATATAAGCCTAGATTTAAATGGTACATTCGATCTGGTAAACAGGCTTGATATATATTAAGCTGTCTAAATATTATATTAACTCGATTAAAATATTTAAGATAATACTATAAATTATGATTTATGATTATAAATAAATACTTATGATAATTCTCAAAATGGATTTTTAATATTATATAACAAATAATCCTTATATATTCTATTATATAATACACATTGCATCATATCAGATATTTGTAGTTAAATCATCATATTATCAATTAATATATTATTGAATTCATTTTTCAATGTTATATATGAATGATACAGCATTTTACAATTAGGTGAATTAAATATTAATGTCAAAGCATGATGCTCAGGTAAATCTCCAAGTAATTCAGATAGAAATAGATGGCATCACAGAATTCTATTATCTGTATGCAAGTTAAAACCTCCTAACTTAATTGGTTCAATAAGAATTTTCATAGAGCGATGAAAAATGTAATGTTTTGCAAAAGCAAATTCTTGTATTTTCTGATGATTGGATATTTTGATATTAGGTAAATATACTAGTAAAGCTTTAGCATCCAACTTGTTGTGACGCCAATTAGAAATGTTACCTAATGTTAAAAATACTGGATGTTTGAATATCTTTCTAAGAGTATCACAAGTAGTCGCATCTGAGTAAAGGATTATAGAAATAATTCTAGCACTATTATTAATAGATGCCTAAGCCTAACCTCACTATTTACTATTATATTATTCTCCATAGCATTTTTCCTAATTACCTTTATTATTTTTTACATATTTTGGTTTATAATCGAATATACAATGTTTGAATATATTCACATTACTTAATAATTCTTTGATGGCATCATAAATTGTGCAGTAATAGAGAATGTATTTAACTTGATCATATTCTATAACAATCATTTTTTTTGTAAAGAATATGTGAAATCTGCATTATATTTAATAATGTTCGAGCTGATTTTGCATTTGAAGGTAAAGTTGCCATTGGATCCATATAAAAATTGTTGAATAAATGAATAATATTATTCATTACAGAATCAGAAAGGTTATGCTTTGTGACTAATTGTACAAATGTTTTATAAGCAGAATTTAGCAGTGATAATGATAATATTTCTTGCATTTTTTGAGATGTTCTAATATCTATAATTATGTCTATATCAGTTAAATTAAATAAAACTTTATTTATAGGCCATAGTAGAAAATAATCTCATTCTATTTCATTATATTCAACATTATTGCATTTAATATCATTATATTCAATATCTTCATCGACTTCAGATCCTTCATTTTTATTTTGATTTTTTTTATTTACAATTTTATCTGTAATCAGATCATTCTGATCATCCTATAGCAGATAATACAATATCAATTAAATATATTTGTACCATTCACGCTATACTTAAATAATTAAATTGTAGATTAAAAATAAAGTGTGAAAAAAAAAGTGAAAAAAAATAAATTTCACCTTATTCATGTTTGAAGCTTGCTCAATATCATTAATTAAGATAGGTGAGAGAATATTTCTTTAAATATTTTTGACTGCAGTTGACTTTGTGATAATATTAGTAATATTAGTTTTATTCTCGCACGTTAGATCATTCTTTTTTAAGTACATCTGGTTTTGATTTAATCAAAGATGATTTCGAAAGGCGTCACGTCTACTAAATGTTCGTAGACAGTATTTGTATTAAAATCATATTTATGTTAGTTATTTGATTGAGTTTTTCTAGATGATTGTGACATCTTTTATGAGGTTGACCATTAAAAGTTTTCGTTCTTTAGTTCAAACATCTTATTATTGTAAAAAGTTATATTTATTTTGTTTAACAAAGTTTTCTTTATTGCATCATGATTTTGTACCATTTCCTAAGAAAAATAAGTAAAGAATTGTATTACGTTCCTTTTCATTTAACTTTTGTTAACAACTTATTTAATTATTTTTTTAGCTCACTAAATCATGCATAATTAAACTCATCATTAACTTATCAATCATATGATTTATTATAATAAATCTAATATAAAATGTCAATGATGAATCTGCAATATCACAAACTTTTTAGAACTCTTTTCTTTTCACATTCTTATAAATCTTATATTCTTATGAATAGATTTCTGTTTAGCAATAGCAACTTCTACTCAACATAATTTCAAACAAAACACACTGTTTAGAAATAAATTGGTTAATGATCCTCTTGACACATTCATACCTGTTAAAAATCACCAAACTCGAGAAAGTATTAAAAAATTACAAAAGGTTAGTATTGTAAAAATTAAATTACCTGATTTTATTTGTATATATGTAATATAGTTTATTTACTGTTATTTTAATTATATAAATCAATATAACAATAATACACAATACTATTCTGATCAATAAAATTATGAGAAACAAGTAATTTCTGTAGATATTTCACTGTTGCTTAATGAAAAAAGTAACAAGAAGAGTAGTGTTGAAAATGAACCAACTGTTATAATTTTGAAGGTTATTGCTAAGAAAAAAAGTAATACTAATAAAGTATTTGCTAGTACAACTTCGATTTTAAAAGTTATATTTTTATAATTACATAATAGTGATTGAGTTAATTATATAGTTTAACGTTAATGTCAATAATGAATATTTAGAATGATGATTTTATCGTGATTAAAGATCAAGTTACTCCAAAACGAAAAAGTGATTTTAATAATAAAGATATCAGATCAAAAATTAAGTAATGTATAATAAAATTTATACTTTGTAGATATTTAATATCATTAATAAATTTGATTATTATAGTAATTCGGCTTGATGAAAAAGATGTCAACCTATTAATGAAAGCTTTAAAATATTTTCAAAAGGCATATGAGACATCTCTTGAAGTGAAAGAAGCAGCATCTGTACAGAGACTGCTTTAAATAAATATATAAGAGACCGTTCATCATAAGATGAAAACTTTAATAAGATTATTAAATCTAGTAAGACTTCATAAAAAAAATATTCTGATATAGCATAAGTGTTATATAAATTTAATTTATTTTGTTTTGTTTTAAATTTATGATATTAATTTATTTTAATTTTAATTGACTTTTTTAATTTGATTTGTTTCAGATTTATGATATTAATTTATTTTGATTTAATTTAGAATACCTTGAATAAGGCAATTGTCAAACTTTTTAAAAAAAATAAGATTCCAACTGATAAAGAAATGCGTAATTTTATTTATTTTGCTCTGATAGATGCATATCCTGATGAAGTTGAGAAGTTAGAAAATTCAAAAGGAAGTTGGGTAAACTATTGGATAGAAGTATTATAATCAACGGTAATTATTTATTTACATTAATTATTTTATATATATATTATTATAATAATAATTTTATGTTTATTTATATATAGATACGTAATGAAATTTGTATAAGATGTTTAGGATGTATCCGAAACATAAAACATGCAATTATTAATATGTTTGGAAAAGCTCATATTGGTACTTTTCCAGGACACAAAGCAACTACTGATGATGTTATAGCATGGAAAATGTCCTAAAGTACAAAATGGGCTAGTGAGAATTTGTGGAATAAAGTTAAAAAAAATGGTGATGAACGGATATCTATATGAATCGTATTACTAAAAAGGTTTTAAAAGAAGATAAAAGATCAACCAATAATTGTACTTTTGTTGTCACAGTAGTCGATCTCATGTTTAATTCAAATGTTCAAACTACTATACTTAGTGAAGAATTGATAATAAAACGAATTAAGGAAAGGAAAATGACTATGCAAAAAGATCAAGAGGTATTTTAAAAATTTTTATTTGATTTGCTTGTTGATTCTGATTTTATTCTAAATATTATATTTTAATATATAGGAAGAAATTCAATCTGATGCAGAATAATTTAATTATATATTACTTTTAATATTTGCTATAAAGGTATATAATATATAGTAGTTGTAACTTAGATTCAATTATTTACAATAGAAATAATAAAAAATTAATGTTTTAATAAATCCTGATTTAAGTGTAACTTAACTCTTATTAAATGATGTACAATTCGTATTAGACAATATCATGCATTGATAAATATTGTGTGATTGTATATCAATATTTCATCTAAAGGTCTAATGTATAGCTAATTTTTATAATGTACATTGACATTTAATATTTATTAACTAAACATCAGATTCTAAAATTTTCTGATAATTCAGTAAAATTATCATTGAAATTTATGAATTACTTATAAAGAAAAAAGGTATTATTGCTTTTACAATAAAAAACTTTTACTAATAGAAAACAAATCTTTAAAGAAAAATAATAGAAGTAATTTAGAAGTAGGTTAAGAAAGAGAAGAATAAAGTGGTAAAGAGGAAAAATAAAAAGAAAAAGAAAATAAAAATAATAAAAATATAAATATTAGTAATAATAATATTACACTGGTCGAAATCAAAAAAATTGGACATGCAAAAATCAGCCTAAAATCAGCCTAAATTGGCCTAAAATTGGTCTAAAATCGGCAAATTATCAAAAATCAGCCTAGCTGATTGGCATACATCAGAAATCGGTTAAGAATCAGCCAAAATTCGACCTATCTTATTTATAGCCGATTGGTATATATCAAAATTTGACCTATCTTATTTATAA